CTTAGAAAATTTTAAAAAACATAATAAAAACATATAATAGGTGCAAAACCACCATAGGTGCGTTTTATAATAATTGTTAAATTTTATGTTATTTATTAATTATATTGATTTATACCAACTATATTATACAATGATATTGATTTTTTAATGTTAACTTTAACATTACTTCAACATTAAAGCCAACGTTAACCTCAACGTTGAAGCCAACGTTGACCTCAATGTTAATCAGAAGAACGAACAAAGGCCCAAAAAAACGACGAAAAATACTTCAATAAACCGACAAAAAAAAGCTCCGAAAGAACGACTAGAAAACTCCAAGAGAACGATGAAAAAGCTTCAAAAAAACGACGAAAAAGTTTCAGAAAAAAACGACGAAAAAAACCAAACAAACAACGAAAAAGCTCCAAAAGAACGACGAAAAAAGCTCCAAAAGAACGACGAAAAAAGAAGCTCCGAAGAACGACTAAACCTCCTAAAGAGCGACAGAAAGATTCAAAAACGACGGAAGGGTCCAAAGAACGACGAAAAAGCTCCTAAAAAACGACGTAAGAGGCGTCACGAAAAACAAAATTTAAGATCGGAAGTGATCATCATATAAACATAGACTCTGATTGGTGCATCTACGACGATCATTCACGGCCTCACTGGGGTCCACAAAATGTAGAAATGATCGTTACCAATTTTAGAAATTCCACACTTGCTCAAGTGTGAATTGTCGCATTGATGATTTTACAATTCAAAAAATCATGCGAAATGTGAATTGCCAATTTTATAAATTATGCAGAAGTTACATTTTTGATATACAGTAGATCCTTGTCTCAATTTTTACTCTTGCACAATGATATATTAAGATAATTAAGAGTAGCTGGTATGGAACGCATGGCTTACTATGTTAAAGAAAAATTCCTCAATATATCAAGAGTTACATTATTGTAGTAATGTATAAAAAATATGACAATAAAACAATACTTCTATCTTAATATATCATTGCGCAAGAGTAAAATTGAGACAAGGATTTACAGTATATCAAAATGTAAATTCTGCATGATTTATAAAATTGGCAATTCACAATTCGAATTTCTAAAATTGTTAACGATCATTTCCACATCTTTGGTTAACGATCATTTCCACATCTTGTGGAATCATTCCACGATTGGGAATCATTTCCACAATTGTGGAAATAATTCACCTGCATCACTAGACGCTTTTGCAGTAACGTGATGTAGCGTATCGTGGCACATTCGGATAAGCTTTTTTGGCTTTATGTTATGTTTCTGGTTAGGTTTCATGGTTATAGGCTTTGAAAGATCATCCCTATATGTAAACTTACGCTCCCGACATTTCTTGTTAGTGAACAAAGGCCGATTTAATTACTAGTTTTTGAGTATTTTCGCTTTTTTCTCTTTTTTTCTTCTTGAGCACGTGTTTTGTTTTGACGTCGGCTGATCCGGGACGATCAAAATTACACATCCTGATTGGCCATTTCTCATGCGCCACATCACGTTACTGCAAAAGTGTCTAGACTCCTGGTGGGGTTGTGGGACCATTGAGTCAAATGTGCATATAAAGAGTATTGCATTTAGGAAGGTAAAAATCTATAAGTGTTATATTAGTTGGGCCCAAGAGAGGAAATGCATTTAGGGAGGTTGCATTTAGAGGGTCTGACTGTATCCAGAAAATTAATTTTTTGATTACTATATAAATTTTATAATAAGCCATAAGAAATTGCAAAATTTAAAGATCTATACTACAAGATTTTATTAATAAAATCACTTTTGTATAAAAACAATTAATTTTAAAATTTGGCAATTTACTCTTTTTACACCTAGCCCATATAAATTAATCCTATCATCGTTTATTAGTTATTCATTACTAGTGAAACGGAGTATATGGTCCAATTTGAGTTCATCTACAAAATCATAATTTAGTAATCGGATGGTTTTCACGGCACAATGATCTAAATCAGTTTCCAGGAGTGAAAATATCAAATATTGGGGAACGTTAAAGCCAGGTTCGGCAAAGGTTAGATTCTTGATGCTTTTTTGATGCAGCTATGGTAATTAATTTATAAAAATATCAAAAATGCAATTCATGCAAGTTGCATATCATTGTGTAAACGAACCTGACTTTAACGGACCCGTTTAATAACTTAAGTCACGTTTCATAATGCAAATAAGCCACGAAAAGAGTGTAAACTTTATAAAAAATCTTTAAAGAATTGTGTAAAGACCTTCCAGACCATATTTGGGGCGTCTAAAACCAGGTGTGTTCACGGATCAGCCCGGCGAGGCAAAAACAAAGAAAAAAAATGAAAAACGCAAAAATACGAGAAGCGAGTGTCTAAACCTGTCGGGAAGGCAACTTTACCTATAAACTTTGCCCTAACGTTAGCCCCTAACTAACCCTTACCTTAATTTTAATTAAATAATCAAAAACATATAAACGCACCGGGCTTTAGCCATCCCCATTTTTGATAATGCACCAAGATGGGTTTAGACTACTGTTTTTGATTATTTTTTTCTTTTTTCGCTTGTTTTGCTTCGTTGGGCTGATCCGGGATTATCAAATTTGACGATCCGATTGGCTGATAATTACGTAATCTGCCCGGCTTTAAGGGACGCCAAAAGAATGTCGAGAAGGTAATTTTGCTTATATAAACGCCCCCCTAGCCCTACTTAAATTGGCCCTAACCCTAATGTCCATGGGAAAACGGCATAACACGTGATCTGTCCCGCTTTAAGAACACCTAATTTGGATAGACACAAAACCTATTGTTAAATGCGGAGATTTCCGTTGTTGTGCTTTTCGTTACTTGGCACAAATTTAGCACAGAACCAAACATAAACATAGTGACAATGCTATGGATTAGTGTACTTCTACGTTGCATTCGTTATGGATTTTATATTACTTCGTTAAACAATGATGCTGCATAGTACGTACTCTGGGTTGATAGTTCATCCTAGAGCGGGTTATGCAGTCAATTGGGAATGGATAAATTAGTGGTGCAACCAAAGTTCTGCAGATCGGCCCGAATTATGGGGCTATAGATAAGTGACGAAATTTTTTTGCAATGACGAAATTACTGCGATATCTGAAAATATATTAATGATGTAACTAGTATTAAGTGTCGTTCCGTCACCATATTTCGTCCTGGGCTGTCAAAAAATAAATAATATTAAGTAAAAAATATAATCTATAATTTGCATTGATGCTATTATGTTCGTTTACTTAAAACAGTAGGGTGCCCAACACGAGATAAGACAGTTGAGCCACTAGCAATCTAATAATAACAAAAAAAATTAAGCTTAAAAATTAACAACAATAATAATTAATTATATGCAGTACATTACTTTAATAGGTAGTATTAAGTGAATACAAAATTTTGAATCTTGAAAAAAATTAGTAACCAGATAATACCTGATTTGTATTATTCGACCACCAATGTAAATAATAAGACCATTTTGTAATAATGTAGCAGTATAATCAGAATACTTAAGGGATTGGAATGAAAGTCCATAGGAAGACATTCGTATGATTGTCTGTTTAAATCAATTTAATTTTACATTATTTATACAATTTAAAGTACTTTTTTAAACAAATAAAACTACGAAGAATAAACAAAAAAGAAGTATATAGAAAGTTTATTAGGTTGTAGGACTCCACTATTGAAAATAATCAAACCATTTCTGGTTTAGAAAAGTAAGCATGGTAATAACCTAATTCTATCTATCTTTAAGAAGTCGCTATTATTATGCTAGCTTCTCTAAAACCAGAAATGATTTTGATTATTTTTAATGCAGTATTGGGGTCCTACAACCCTAATAAAACTTTCTATATACTTCTTTTTTTTTTTTGCCTTCGTAGTTTTATTATTTTTAAAAAGTACTTTAAACTGTATGAATAATGTAAAATTAAATTGATTTAAACAGCCAATCATACGAATGTCTTCCTTGGGATGGAAGTTGAGTTTCCACGTCATAGTAGTTGATATCAAGAACATTATCCGAAATTTCATATGATCATGTAAATTTATTTTGCCATGATATTTTTTGCATGAAATTATGTAATTAATTTTGCACATGGTCATATCAACTATCGGATAACATCATTATTGAACATACGTACGACAAATAACAGGAAATTTTTTGTCATCTGTCCAATAATGTGCACTTCATATCATTATACCAAATTGAAGTTTCATGATTTATCCCCAAAAATAAAAATCTTACAATTCTTATCAATAACAGCTTGCATTTCATTACGTGATGCAAAGCTAGAATTAAAATTATTTATATTTGGTGTTGTCCATTGTGAAGTCTTAGAATTGAACGCAAATACTGATGACATATTTATAGCATTTAAAATATCTGGTACAGTATTTGGAATATATGTCCTTCCGCCGACTAAATAACAGTAAAATTATCAATAGGACTAAGACATGAACTACCAAAAAAATATCCTACTGGGATTCCTATATTTTTATGCTATGGTGATAGTTACGTTAAATGAATTTGATAGGTCAAGATACCAAACTTCATTAAATACAGAATAAGATGTTACTCCACCAAAGAAATAAAGCTTAGTGCCAACTAATGTACAGTACTAGTTTGCAAGATTTTAGTTTGAATAACTCAATAACCAGCGATGTATAAAACGGTACAAAAAGTGAGACGGTTGTAACAGTAAAAAGTATTTCGGTATCATTGAATAACAGGTCACGTAGACAACGCGTTTGATGAAAGGTGAACTTTTATAACTTCGGAAGATTTTCGATTGATTTTTATTATAAAGGTCTCTTCAGCATATACGTGTGTGTCTAAATTGCCAATCTTAGTAAAAAAGTAATTACGGTATTTAGGCTGCCGAAATTAGTCTTATATAGTGCCGAAATTAAATTTCATATTACATTTTTTCAAAAATAATTTAGACACACATGTATACTTCAGCATAACACAAATCAAGGGAATCCCTCGCTTTATTAAACTCGTTTACATTTAGGTTTATTATGCTACACATTAATGCGATGCCTAGCACGTCAATGTGCTATCTAACACATTAGCACGTTGGCATGCAATTTCCAGCCTACAAAATTTATGTACTATCTCGAACTTCCGGAATCAATGAACTTTTACCCTTATATAGGCGAGAACAATTCGATTCAGTGGTTTAAGTTACCTTCCCCTCTATTGATCCCCCTTTCTTAGTCAAAGAAAAGTTTGGAATAGGTATCTGAGTGCGCTAGCTGCAATCTCATGCAAGTGTAAATCTAAGGCACTGCATATAAATCATTATTTACGTACAAAATTACGAAGTAAGCGATATTTAAATTCAGTATAATGATAGTCATTAAAAAATATTCCTATTCCATCTTCTGATTTCTGGACTCAAAACAAAAATAAAAAATAAAAAGTTTACAAAAATCTGCCAAAATTGAACTTGCAAAAAATAAGCAATTTAACGGTGCTGATAATGTATTATTAAAATACAAAGTTTGCAAATATAAGCATTTTATTAGCATTTTCTTATTATATTTAATTTTATAAATATATTTGTCAATTATTATGCTAATAAAATGCTAATATTAGCAATATATTATCA